GTGTGGATCAGTAAACAGACACTGTGTCCCAAATGGCCATTTTTTAAAAATTCATGCACACCCTCGAGGACTTTGGGACGAGGTATTTTTCATGACGTGTGGATTTGGAGGAGGACTGCAGGGTTTAAGGCACCATTTAGGACAGGGCCAGAGTCAGCTCTCATCTCACGCCAGCCTACTAAGCCTGTAACCATAGTGACAACCTCAGAAATACTTAATGTATTCTTTGCCCTCTGTGATCTTTTCAAAAATAGAATAAATCCTTCATAGCCTATCTGGGTTCCATGTTATTCTCTTTATACTGATACTGTCATTTATCACTTCTTAGCAAACTCCCAAAAATGGTTTAAAAAAAAAAATAAAATAAAAAATTGTTCACTAAGTATCTAATGACTCTAAAACAGGGATGTGGGAGAGCTACCACAAGCAAGGCTGCCCAGTCATTTAGGCACAGTCATATACAAACCTACAATTCAGACAATTGTTTTAGTATTATTTCAAGCCCAAATCCACCCACTATTGGCACGTTTAGATGCTTTAGCATAATGAAATGTAATGAAATTCCACTATGAGTCCTTCCTTTAGAATCTGAGTGTATTAACTAAAACTTCTTGTCCCTTGGTGAGCCTTCTTTACTGTATGAATTTGTTGATCATCTAGTTTAGCTCCCTATTTCCATAACCCACCCTTGACTTTGTAACTTTACCAAATGACTAAAATATTTCCCAAATGCATATTATCAGAATATCTGATATGAGAGGTATCTGAGGTCATGCTTCTCTGTTGTGTGAATTTAATAATGCTCCCTTAACTTTCTTCAATCTCGAATAAGATCCATCACTAATAAAAGCAGGGGGTGGAACCATCTATTTATATTTTCCCCACTTATAAGCAGGGTTAGGAATAAGCTTTTTTATATGCTTTTTAAAAAAAATCCAACCCACAGTAACAGTTATCGTGCATAAAACAGTGATATAGTATTTTAACCCAATTGTGTAACTTGGCACATGGTGAACTGAAATGTATTATATATTCTTTAGCACTAGGGGGCACACCACAGATACCTTTTTTTTATTTTCAGTCCTAGAGCCACAAACCAGACCAAGTAATATTCTAAACTTGTTAAGGAAATTCTGATTGTGGTGTGAACTGGGCAGAAGTGTTGAGCTTTCACCCAGAGCGTTCATATAAAATTTGTCTTAGATGTTTAGTTTATGTCTTTTCTGAGTTGGTGTGTTAGTAGAAATAATTCAATTTTAGATTTCCAAACATTCATTTTTGGATACAGTGTCTCAGTGTCTTAAAAGTTCACATTTATTAAAACTATACACACATCAGGTGAAGGGTGTAGGAATGACAGCACTTTTTATAGGTGGTTCCCCCTTTTTAAGGCACCAAAAGTAATGGCACAAAATTACATAATCAAAAGTTAAATTGTTTTTTTTTAATATCCTTTGTAGTCAATGACTGCCTGAAGTCTGGGTTTCTTCCCTGGTGATGCTCTTCCAGGCCTTTACCGCACCTATCTTCAGTTCCTGCATGTTCTTGGGGTGTTTTGCCTTCAGTTTTAGCCTTCAGCAAGTGAAGAAAATAGTTCAGACCAATTTTATGTATGTACTGTATGCGTAGTCATCATCATCAGTACAGAATTCATTTCTATGCAGTTTTCTAGTTGATGTATAAAACACTGACACCAGCACACACACACTGTGACAGCTGTGTTCTCAATTATAGCTTTTCTCAATAGTTTAGATGCAGTTGTTGAAAGGTTAACATTCATTTGTACATCTTCAGTTACCGCTTTATCCTCACAGAGTCACAGTGGTTCCGAAGCCTATTCCAGGGACACCAGGCATGAAGGATGCCAGTTCACAACCACAGACACACACACACACACACACACACTCACACCTTGGGGCAATTTTGGAGTTGCAAAAGGCTAACATCATTCTCAAGATATTGCTTCAAAACCCCACATTAATACAACTGATCACAGAACTATGTGAATTTTCATTATCTTTCCTACAAAATGCACATTTGCAAAATACTAAACACAATTGACATTGCAGAGATACTATTCTTATTTTACTCTGACAAGCCAGTCAAAACTGATTGTGATGATATTAATCTGTTATTCACACACACACACACACAGAGAGAGAGAGAGAGAGAGAGACTTGTTCATTGCTCACAGTCATCAAACGCAATCAGAATGAAATACTGCTTTCTTCTTATAAAAAAAATGGAATAAAAAAAATCAAAACTGTAGACCTGTCATCCGTTGACTAAATAATTTATTCGGCTATAATCACACAGGTACACTAAAGACAAAACATATTTATCTTCCCCCACATATTCTTCTGTCTGTAAAATAGCTTTTCCTTTTTAAGGTTTACAGTTCGTTGAAGTTTTCCGATTTTGATTGATTAGAAATACTCATGTTAGTAAATATATAGATTACAGGAAATTGCAACCAGGAATACAAAATGTTCATGTATATGAGCTTTGAGTTAATCCATCAAGCTGTTCATTTCTGTGAGGCCAGTGGGTCTGATGCATTTGCCTGAATATCTCTTATAGCTTCCTGTGTGTCCTGTAGGAGGTTAACTCTCTAATAGATTGCTTTCATATACTTTTCATATCCAGAAAGAGAGAAACTCAACAGGATTCACAAAGGGAGAATATGGTGGGAGAAACACCATTAGGATACATGAATGGGTTTCAATTCACTTGTGCACTAGTGCTAATCGGTGGAATTGAACGTTATCCCAAACCACCACAAAGTGTCTCAGCTCCAGTCGTTCCTGGCCTTGCTGTTTTGGAATGAGGATGCCATTTCTGAGCTTAGAAAAGGAGGATTTGCTGTAGGACATGGTCAATTAGGATGGCCCTTATTTCATTTCAGATTCTTCTTATTTATTCTGTTCTTCTCCTTTCTCTTCCTCTCTGATCTTCTCTCCCTACTGCCTGTCCTCATCATCTTTCTTCATCCCTTTCTACCTCTTCCACTCTTCCTCTCTCCTCCTCTTCTCCTTATCCTTTTCCTATCCCAAATGCTCAATCTCCTCTTATTCTTACACATCTTCTGCTCACCACTCTTTGACCAGATTCTTGTTGTTTATTGTTTGTTCATGCTCATTCAAATGTGACTCTTTCATGTACATAGCTAAATTCTGAGAGATGGTGTGATCAGTTGTGAACCTGTGTTGTGTGCTTTACTAGTCTAGCTGACATCAACTTGGGAAAAAATGTAAATCGGTTATGTGAAGGTGAGAAGGTTCATTCATTCATTCATTCATTCGTTCATTCATTCATCTTTTGTAGTTACTTTGTTCTGTTCAGGGTCGCAGTGGGTCCTGAGCTTATCCCAGGAACACTAGGTTTAAAGTGGGAGAATTCACTCCAGATGGGAAGCCAGTCCATCACAAGGCACCACGCACACAAGCCAATCCACCAACCTGCACATTTTGGACAGAAAACCCAGAAAACAAAACACAGAGAGCAACCCGAGCTCAGATGTGAGAAATACTCACCCACTATGGCAGGTAAGAAGATTGCAAATTGAAATAAAATTTGAACTTTTTTTTGTCGTGTTAGGAAAAATTGCACATATGTTTTTGCAAATTTGTGTGAAAACTATGAAAAAATAACTCTGTGTCCTGGTAACTATTTTAAGTGTTTTAGGTAACATGGAGACATTTAAAGACATGGAAATTTCATTTTGTGTGTTGTTTTTGGAAAACAAGGTATATTTTATTATTTATGTTTCAGATGCCTGTTAACTATTTTGAGAGCAATAAACTTAATTTGGAGAAATTTGTATTATACCAACTGAGAAAAAAACCTGTAAAAGCTACAATACTAAGGGCTCCAGTGCACATTATTGCTGACTGGAGCAATACATGAACCTTGCAAAAGGAGGAGGAGGTTTGGCTCTGTGGTGGTACGGCAAGGGGCAGAGGTGTGCACAGATAATAGAGAACATTTACAGTTTTGTGTTTTACGAAATGTAAACAACTGAGAAAGACTGTAATCAGTACAGTGTGAAAAACTGTGTGTGTGGTGTTTTCATTTTGAGGGCAGTGTTCCTGGTTTTGAAGGCAGGTTTCGTTTACACATGCTGTATAAGGATATTAGAGCATTTGAGACACTATTTTCAAAAATGTGTGCAAGCAATAGGGAATAACTATATCATGTCTAGTATTATCATTACTTGTTCTAAGGAATTCTACTATGTTTAGTCAATTATCACTGTTGGGTACTTTATACACTGAATGCATGGAAACAAAACATGCTTTGAAAACATGCTTTCAACAGTAAATTAACAGTAAACTGTTGCATATATCTATGAAGGTTAAAAAATGACCTGTCCTATCTGTTTTTGGTTTTCATCTACATCACAGCTGATGTTTTCTCTGGCTAACCAGCAGGGGAAAAATCTGCAAGCATGTCGAATCAATGCTTGTCAAGTGTTTGGACTAGCAGGTCTCTACCAGTGTCAGGGGTGGCTCTTAGTCATGAGTTATGGACATATAGCTTACATCGTCTTGCTGAGAAACATTCCTGAATTGAATTGAAGAATGGAGTAAATGGTGGGAGAAAGATGAGTTGAATATAAGGGTGGTTGGTGTAAAACTTTCTAACAACTAGTAGGAGAGGTTGGACATACTCTATGCATTACCTGCAAGTGTGCTAATCACGGAATGTTTATGACTGACTGACCATAGCTTAGATAGCAAAAGTGTGATGGCCCAGTGTCTGGCCCCTTACATCCATTGAATGATGGATCATATCATCTGAATCTGGTTACCAGGATATTAGATTAGATTCAACTTCTATTGTCATTGTGTAGAGTACAAGTACAGAGCCAGTGAAATGCAGTTTTTCACATATCCTAGCTTGCTAGGAAGCTGGGGTCAGAGCACAGGGTCAGCCATGATACAGCACCCTTGGAGCAGATGTGGTTAAGGGCCTTGCTCAAGTACCCAACAGCAGCAGCTTGACAGTGCTGGAGCTTGAACCCCCAACCTCCCGATCAGTAACCCAGAGCCTTAACCCTTCAGCCACCACTGCCCGTATCACCACAAGTCAGTCTTTATGAAACCAAATCTCAGGCATGAGATGTTTTAGAACGTACAGTTTCTGCCCAAAATTGAAAAGCATTAGATATAATTGGATATAATTAGACATTTTGGGGCAAGATCTACAAAAAACCATCAAAGTGGCTTTAAAACATAGACTCTATCTAGGAATTCCTTATGAAGACATGGAAAGTAAACTGTAATCATGACCAGCTCTAATTTAAATCATTGAGTTTGACTTTTGTGGACTAATGATTGAGTGTCTTGTTGGCACTTTCAATATGACCCCATATGATTTCTGCAACAAATCAGCCAATAGAGAGAAGCAAAGGGGAAAGCAATACGTAAGGAGGACTAAGGTGGACAAGCCACACACAAGCAGATAATAGACAAGCGCAGAGTGAAGAGTTAAATGAAAACAATGGAGCAGTGTAGACATGGCGTTTTCATAGCTCTTGTGGTCAGAGCCAGGGTGAGAACAGAAGGGCCGATGTCCGTTTATGTAACCTCCGGCCTCTGAAGAGGGCAGCCAGTGCCTTCGTCTGATCATGGCGGCTGACACTGAAGTGTGAAGGCACGGGGATGTGGCAGCATAGGGCAACTTTTTTACTGATGGAGCCCCAGGATCCACAAAGAGCCACTTGGCTGTCTGGCTCCTGCCCGTTCACAGGTTGATATCAGGATTTGGATGAATGATTTTTTTTCTTTTCCATCAGCAAGATTTACAGTAACATAAAATAAACGTTCTGGAGTGTCTGTGTGAACAAGGCTTACAGTAATAAGGAGCGTGCTCAGCACTAATGTGTAAACTCTTTGTGGGCTTTTATTTTGGCTTGGACAAAGCCAGGAACCTAAAATTAATATGCAGAAAGAGAGACAAAGAAGGAGAGGGAAAGATACAGAAAGACTGAAAGAGGGAAAACAGATGGGGAAATAGAATTTCAGTATGTGTGCATGTGTGTGCCTGGGAGAAGGGAGCCTCTTATACTGTCTCAGCAGGGGCTTGGGCCAAGCTTCGGCCTAGTCTCGTCTGCCCAGCGGGGGCCTTTCCTGAATGAGCCGCCCAGAGGAGGGGCACCTGCCTGAGCTACAAACACAGAGAAGAGACAGGAGGTGTGGACCAATGAGGGAGGGGAAGGATGGGTGGTGAATGGAAAGACACTCAGGGAAAGGACACGGATTCAATCTCTGAAATGCATAGGTAGCACAAAAGTACAGCTTGGAAATGAAAATATATGTGCCCTTTACATCACCCTGTAGTCTGTGGTCTACAAGCCACTACCTCCGACAAAACAAGAAATTTTGTGCAAATACAGTCGTGGTGGTTATTGTTGGAGAGTCATACGGTACCAAGTCTTGTGTCTACCAACATAAACTGACAGCTTATAGATTTATCAACCTCCCCAGGACAATATTTTCCTCTGTTTGGACCCAGTGGGTAAATACATGTGCTTGAAGTTTATCACATACTCAATCTTTCAGACTAGCATTGAGAGAGAGAGAGAGAGAGAGAGAGAGAGGTCAGACATAGTCCTGTTATAAATTCGCCACTGTTAAACTCCTGAAGATGGTATTAAATAGAGAACTTTTATCCTCCTTCCTGTTCACATAAAGTATTACTGGTCTACCAACATATTTGCAATCACAGCACTGGAGAAAATGAAATAGATTAGGTAGCAAAGGTTCATAAAAGCTGCTGATGAACAGCAAAAGAAGCTGAGAGACCACTTTGTTCCACAGAAATGCGCTGAGCTCCGTGTGTATTAGAGATCTGAGGCCGGTCTGGCATTGGAGGATCAATGCTGGCTTCACAGAGAACGAAGTAGGAAGGTTAGCTAGCACGTTTCTCCCAGGTAAATGGAAACACATGCTAAAGGAAAGAAAGGACAGACTGAAACAGAGGTACAGCTTTGCACAAATGCTTCTCAAGCACCATGTTCTGATTATGGGATGCCTAATTTTTTTTCTTTTTGAACAGACTTAACTCCACTGTGATTGAAGAATCGTGATATTTTAATAGGGACCAGAAAGGTTCTTTTTTTTTCTTTGTATTTGTCTTGGAAGCCCCTGTATGAAATATACTGTATGCAATCACAAAAGGCAGACAGATACACAGCTTCACAAATTTCACTGTTACACAAAGAAGTGTTCATGCGCATAAGAGTTCTTCATGCAGCCTGACACCATGCTGCCATTCAAACATTTACAGACAAGACACGGGCTCTCTCACCCACATGTTACTCACATATGAACATCACATGCATGCCATAAATTAATTTAGTGTAGACATTTATACATGCAGTGTCAACTGAGAAACAGCAGTAAGGCTATGTGCACAGTATGTTTTTTTTTTATATGATACCTCACTTAGTTTGCTTCACATTAATTTACCCAAATACTTATATTGAACCCAAATAGCAAAATAGCTTAAATGTATTTAGCTAGAAGTCAGAGAAGGAGAATTTATATATGCTATAAGTCATTTTATACAACATACACAGAGATTTGAAGAAAATGCAATTTCAAAGCAAATGCAAACTCAGTTAAGATCATACTATTCAACTGCTGCTTGTTTGAAATGACAAAGAAAGCACATTTCTATCATAACAGCCCAATCAACAATCAATAAAACCTTATTTCTGAGTTTATGCCCTGTCTTGTTTCTCCATTTTATTGAACGTAATGAATGAATGTTTATTCTATGCAGCATTCTATCACTGGCACTCTCAAATACTCAGGATAGGGGATGTTTTATTGCCTAAACACTTTGGGGACAGAACCACGAACCACTTCACAGACTTCAGTATAAAAGGGGTATTTTTATTCATCAGTATATATTATTGCCACAAATGCATGTATATGAATGTTTGTGACTATGCTATGTGCAAAGCAATGCAGGGAAAAGGCAGATGCAAAAATAAATGCAGTTTGCTGTAAAAGGCAAACAAAGTCTGAGGTTTTCAAGAGTCATAGAAGACATAGAATTTGAATGCAAACAATACTATCTAATACCTTCTAGGCAAACATCTTCCATTATAGAATGCAGTAGGCTGTAGTTTTACAAATATTTAAGTTAGAGCCAAGCATTCAGTAAAGTAACATTAGTAGAACAAGATTTTTGCAGGGAACAACTATGAATGTTGCTAAATCTGTATTATTGCTGATGTACTGATGTAAAAAAAAAAAAAAAAACTTGTGTATAAGCCAGTAAAATATAAGCTTAGAAACTTAGTAGATAGATTTATCCACTCACAGACAAACAGAAAAAAATGGGAATTGATATATTAATGTACAAATGTAAAACATTGTACAAGAACTAAACAGCTTCATGTGAGTCGATACACATTTGTAAATCCTAAAAGAATGGACAAGACTAATATTTATCCTCTTCAAAGAGAAAATTCCAATGGGAATTGTTCTTTAGCTTTGAGCCTAATTTAAATATATGGCCTTTCTCTTCATTAGGGCTAATAAACCAATTTGGTTTTAAAATGCTTCACACCTGTAGTGAAAATTCCCTTTGGGCAAGTTACAAATCATGTCAAAACTTGTGTTGTCCCTTTCATGTTGTGCCTTTGGTGTCTCCTCAAACAGATGTTTTGAACATTTTTGTTCACCAGTGTGTGATAATTAGCTGTCTGGTAGTTGAAGCCCTGATGCTTCATTATAAGCTTTGCTTTTAAGAAGCATAAGAGCCTCATATAACACATTATTACACATTGCCTTTTAGTAGAGAAAATGTTTATCGTAGTCAATTCTACTAAAACCTAGGAGAGTCCTAAACCCAATGACCATAATGGGTGAACAGTTTACTTAATATATTTGACTGCAACAATAATGCTGCAACTGAAATACATGAGTACCGGAATAATATATAATCTTATTAATTTAAAAAGATGTCTATAATATGCCCAGTGAAGGACTGGCGCTCTATCCAGGGTATATTCCCTTCTTGCGCCTAGTGATCCCGGGATAGGCCCCAGATCCACCATGACCCTGATCAGAATAAATTGGCTATGGCTATTGAATATGAATGAATGATTGATGTAGTGTATGTAATACTGACAAAAGGGAGCTGACAAAAGAGTTGTGAAAAGTGCACTTCTTTATGGGCAGGTAAAAAGTGCTTTCACTGGTGAACAGAGCTTCCCTTTTGGCAGAATGGAGCAGTTGTGCTTGTTGTCTGCCCTCTGGTCCGGTGCCGCTTTCCTGTCAGTAACGTGTAAAAAAATGGATTTACACATGAGTTCCCATATGTTAGTCCTGTTAGGATCCGGTTAACAGTGACCTGTGTGCCTACTGGTACCACACGTAGAACATCTGGTCGATAGAGTGGTAGCAACTGCCAGATCCAGAATGGGAGGAAACAGGCCCAGAATGCAAGCACAATTCCCAGAATGAGAAGCAGGACTTTGGGTCTAGGAGCACGGGGTGGGTTGGCGCTACATCCACCAGCCCAGGCCAGCTGTGTCTGTGAAACCCAGTAGTGACGCCCCAAGGCTGCATACAGACCCCCGATGGCCAGGCCTGGTCCTAGGATACTGGTGCAGAATAGTACACTGAGGTAAGCTTTGGAGCTTTGCTCATCCCATGCTGGAACACACAGTTTGCCCTCCTGGTTTCCTCCATCCTCCAGGTGCAGAGTGATCATCATGGGTAGGCTGAGTGCCACAGCAAGGCCCCAAGCCAGTACCACACGCCGCAGTCCTGAGGTAGGAGCTGAAGATGCAGCAAGTGGGTCTGCCACGGCACGGTATCGGTCCAGACTCATTGCAGTCAGTGTGAAGATGCTGGCGTGCATGGTGAGCAGGTCCAGGCTGAGCAGGAGGCGGCAGCCGAGTTCACCAAAAGCCCAATCAGATGCCAGGCTGTCATAGACGATAAAGGGAGCAGTGGAGAGGTAAAGCAGATCTGCCAAAGCCAGACTCAGAACCTGCAGATGAAGTGAAGAAGAAGACAAGGAGGACGAGGTGGGGGAGGAATTAGGAGAGTG